ATTGCAATGTGAGGTCGGGCGTCCATTTGGAGAAAGAAGATTCTAAGACATTTCTGACGATTCTCTCCCAGTACTGAGGCTAACCTGGGAGCTGTTTCAGGATGGCTTTTGCAATGCTTTTCTTCACACATAGAAAGTGGCTCCCAAACCAGGTTACCCAGGTTATCCGAATTGGAGGATTGCTCTTCTTTTGCTGTATTGATGAAGTTTGGAGCTTGATTTAGGGGGTTGTGGTTGGCTCCCCCACTTTCTTCACGATTTGGGGCGCGGCCGCGGCGAGCGCGGACGAGTCGATAGTGCCCGCGAACTGTGCGGGTAAATTTGAAAACGCTTCACCACCACAGTTCGCGGGCACTATCGACTCGTCCGCGCTCGCCGCGGCCGCGCCCCAAATCGTGAAGAAAGTGGGGGAGCCGGGAAGACTCTGCTTGTGCAGTCCCAGAATGAATCTCCCCATGCTTGGCGTGCTCGGTATGGTCGGCCGGACCATAAGGTTTCCATCAAGACTTCATTCTGCAGCAGTCCTTGCCATACTGATGGCGTGTGCTGGTGCATCGGCTGCGCTCAGGTATCTGCTACAATACCCTGGTAGCAACGTGCGGAGGCACTCCCAATTTAGGGTGCAAGGGGCGCTCATCAAAAATGACCGCAGGCCCAGTATGAGGTTGAAGTTCATAGCTCGTTTCGTCTTTGCCGTTGCGATTGGACCACTAGCTCAGTACCCTATCAGTAGCAGAGACTGGGTCAAACACAGCGCTGATCTTCTCTGTTGTCCTCCTTGCTACAGAGTTCATTTGAGGATCGTAAAGCATAATCATTCATTATAGTCACTGACCTTTTCGACTCTAGTTGATTAACCCATTACGGGCTTACCAGAAAGCATCCCGTTAAGGTCCATGAAGCATTCCCAATCCATAAACGTATTTTGCATTAAGCGGTCTCAGGCAGAAATCTTAATTAGAATAGAAATTGGGCAGGACTCATAAGCAACCCAGTATTTTGATTAGTTTACTGAGAAACACGAAACAGAACGACATCTCTGTTTATAAAACAGATTTATTACAACGAAATCATCAACAATAAATAATAAGTACAAGGTAGCTGAAACCATATTACCCACTTCATCTTTACGGTGTACAAACAAAAGTTACTCTGAACTCTATGAATAAACAGAAATATCTAGTGACTCACAAAAAGGGAAAAGGGTTAACATATCACACGTAGCGCTAAGATAACCACCGCCTAGCCAGTTTTCGAAAAATGAGACAAGAGTGGCAGTTACCCAAAGAAGAACGAAGTTCATCACTCGACAAAATATGTTTCTATCATTTCCGACTGATTACTTAGTCAATGAGCTTTTTGGCCTTGAAGTAGTTGCGCAGGAACATGACCTGAATACCGCTCTTTGAGAATAAAAAGAAAGCTCTTGAAAGGCACTAAAAACACTCAACATACCTGCCAGATAGCCAGCGCCAGAAGGCAAAACATAGAGAAAATAGATAGGTATAATACACGACTGTTTGTGGACTCTGAAACAAAAGATATACTCTATTATGAACTCTGATGTTTGCATAAGGAAAATGTGAAAAAGGACGATTAATAACTGCGCAAATGTTCATATATGAAATTGGGAATTCATTTAAAAAAATCAAAACCACTAAATCAAACCAGTGGTATATGAAAAAAAAATTCGGACGACAAGCTAGAATGAACTGTATTGTTAGCATCAGTTTTTAAGAAGACTTATTTTCCACGAAAGATTATTAAGGATAATCACACATTAACGTGTAGATAATCCACCTTTTTTCAAAAGCCTAGACCCCTGCCCATGCCCATATTTTCTGAGCAATGCAAGATGAAAATGAAAAAAAAAGATGCGAAAGCACAACAACTTCACTGCTGAGTTCTAGCAACCAGCCCTTCATTTTTGAGGACAAAAAGCCTTGTCATATTGGATTCTAATTCTGGCATGAGACTTCCTCGAAAGCCAAACAAAAGGTACCGTTTGTATTTCTCATTTCCTCTTCACGTTGTCGCATGAAGGCGAAATCTTTCACAATCTGATCGGACAGATCTTCCAAACGTCGCAATTCGACCTGAACATTACAACTATGTATGGCCAATGGCACACAGCAAAAACGAAAGGAAAGATTTTCTCCAAATCTTCATCGAGTGCGTCACGTTCTTCAAACATACCATCACTCGACCCTATCCCAACTAACTTTGTCAATACTAGTTTCTCCCAGTAGGAATGTATAATCCACTCCCAATAACCAACTCAGCCCCTTCAGCTGATTCGCTGTTTTAACGTGAGACGATATAAACTAATCTTACCTACTTACAGTGGAAGAAATACTACAGAACAAATAGGAACAGCCTATTGAGCAAAGCAAACACGCAAATTAAAAACCATACCTCGAGCGGCTTCAGCTTCTCAGCTTTGGCAATGTCTTCGTAATTCTTTGCTTCTACACCGTGTTTCATTTTCAATGATACTTCCCGAGCTTGCGCATGACCTTCAATTTTTGGATTAGCATTTTCATCAAATCCTGACATTAAACTTCTAAAAAGAATGAAGAGCGCTTCCACGAAGCAACCAATAAAAGTACACAACCAAACATTTCGATGTGAGAAATTTGAGAAGTGACATTCACTTTACAAATCGGAGGTGCCCATGAAAAAAAAAACTCGCAATATTTCGAAGCATCTAACACCACTTTACAGACGCAAAAATTGTAAGCGAATGTCCGAATACGTAGGGTTGAATTCGAGTTTTGACGGGCGAGTTCGTTATGAATGGATGAAGCCGAAAGCAGTAAACACAGCCAAGGAACCAATGAAATTGTAAACATGGGAACTACTCATAGTACCTGCCATGAAGTCTAAGAAAAAACAGGGTGACAGGATATACCACCCAGAGCAATTTCAAATCACACGTGAATTATTATACAAAAAGTGCTTAACAAGAAGGCCTATTAATGCAGCAATATGTGACATGCTGTGATCCGCAAGCCAGCTGTCAATTCTTAAATAAAAAGGAAACAAGAAGTTATGACAACGTTTTCAACTCACCTGCAGTGGCTGGTGCATGATTGCTGATGCAGATTTCAAAGATGTCGTACTCATCAGCTGTGAAAGCGAACTTTCCCTTGAGATCGCTAAACTTCTCTCGCTTATACAGCGTGTGTCCGCGAGTGTCCGTTACCTAAATCACCGACCTTCGATCGCAATGAATAAAAAGATCACAAAAAGCTAGGCCCTCCCTTCTCGTGTAAAACATAGGGAATACAAGGAATATATGAAGAAATAAAAAGCAACAAAACCTACGTGAACACTGCCTGTGTAGCCGATTCCCTCGCTGAATTCGTATTCTCCAGTGACAACGATATTCTTATGAATCTCCTCCTTCATGCACTTTTTGTTATTCGCTGGCACGTTAAAACGCAGACCATAGGCAATCGTCACCAAGGAGAGGAGCGCCAACGAGGTGATGATCCTCATTGTGAATTACCGCTGGAAAGGATAATATGAAGAACTCCGGAATTTCCGAAACAATTGAAGCACACGTGGATTGGATGATCAAACGGCCGATTACGTGTAAAAAGACAAAGTGCAACTGGCTGAACACTCACACAATAGCTGTGAAAACAAATCATATAATCATATTCGAACAGAACCATTTTGTCGTACATGGTAATTCACTTTGACAAGATAATCCTTGAAGCAACAAGAACACCAGATGGATCCATACTTTTGCTACTGATGGGGTGAAAAGATGCTCGGGGCGTAAACTTATGATTGTCGCTGAAGCAAAAAAAATGATCTTGGAAAGCCGCTATGAGGAGTTGGATAGGTGCCAATTTTGGTCCGATCGCCTTTTGGTCGACACGCTCATTTGCTAGCCGTGGAGACAGTGCAATTAGGTGAGTTGCCAATGCGCAGCCGCTATTTTGCGCAGGTCAGTGAAACCGAGGAGCAAGCATGATCAGGAAACTCGTCCGGCCCCGCCCCTTAGGCTGGTGTCAGAGTCCGCGATCCGTCGCAGGTTTCGCTGATTTTCGCGATTTGCGCGATTTGCGCGATTCACGCGACGGGTCACGGAAATCACAAGTGCCCGATCAATACTGCAAGGTGTTCTCCAATCCTGCCGCCACTTCTGCTTGATAGTGATGGCTGAATGACGACTGCTCATGATTCCACTTGTTTCATATTCAGTGTTTCAAATGTTCAAATGGGGCACTTGCAATTTTTGCGATCGCGAAATCGCGTGAATCGCGCAAATCGCGAAAATCAGCGAAACCTGCGACGGATCGCGGACTCTGACACCAGCCTTACTTATTCCGAGGAGAAAGAGAGGAAACATTTTCTAATGGCTTCATCGGTGGTTTGCTTTG